TGGCATGCACTTTGCTGCATCCTCCCCTATTTTGCCACCCACAACCACCCCCAAAAGCAGCCTTGTTATCTGACAGCTGCACTTACGCAATGTTACGCATAAGTGCCCCTTGGCACCTAGCGAGTATTACACTTTTTATTCACTCTTTCACCCACTCGAAACCTGTTATTCTGCAAATATTTGTAAATGCTGGATTTATTTTAGCTATGATTTATTTGGAGATGTTTGTTACCATTTTTTTGTTGAACCTTTGCAAGTGAGGCAATAACTTAATGGAGAACTCTAAAACCTTACTAATATTATCTTTTAATCAGAAGGGAAATAAAGCATTATAGCAACAATAGACTAAAGTTTTTTAAATTCCAAATTTATTAATTAAAGAGTTAAAGAGTATCCACTGATAGCCTTTCCCTTTGAAAACACTATACTTTTTTTAAATGTAAAAATTTATTCAAAGTGCCTCGCGAAAAGGTTTCCGAATGAAGCGCATACTAACAAAAGAATCGAATGCCGTTAGATGGGGGAAAATGTGTGGAAAATTGAGGCGGGAACCCAGTCAACCATTCATTGCAAAAAAAAAAGGAATGCGTAAAAACCTGTGCTGTCATCGGAACCAAATAAAAATTTGCATTCCATCGGTTGTCAATGGCCTGACTCCCGTTCCCTAAAAAGCTGTCTACTCTTTATTAGCCATCGTGACTAAGCGCGGCTGATGAAACTTTTCCCGCTGACAAATTGACTTGCCACATGGCCCAAAAGCGAGCGTCGAGCTTGGCTAATAACTCAATAAAGGAAGTCATGCCCAAACCGTCTGCCACTTTCTGCGGATTTCCTTTTGTGGGGCGGCAGATTTAAGCCGATTTCCGCTTGTTTGTCACACAATTACAATTTGTCAGTCGGTCAGGCTCAGGCTCAGGTTGGAGGATTGCGTCTTCGTCCTTTGCCCGTCTTGATTGTCTGCGAAAGGTATGTATCAAGGCCTAATTAGGGATAATCGCTGGCCAAACAACGGCTAAGGAAAGGCGTTGAAAGTGATTTAATAGATGAAACGCGCTTTGAACAGCAAGAATTAGTATTAGTAACTTTTATTAGTTCTAATTTGCTTGAATTTTGAAATGACTACCTTTAATATTTTTATAATCGAGGTTTTCAAGGCAAGGTTAATAATTATTTAGGACAATTATATCTTAAACTCTCGCTGTTTAATGAGATCCAGATAAAGCCTGTGAGGACCCAATATCTGCAAGATTCTTTAAACTAGTTGGAATCGAAATAATTATATATTGTGTATAATAAATGGTACCCTTTTATACACTTGCAGGTATTATAATTTAATCAAATGCTTGTAACGCTGTGGAAAAGTATTTCCGACCTATAAATCATATAAATTCTTATCAGAATCACAGGCGAATCAATCTGCCATGTCTGGTCAAAAATAAATTTTTAAAAATTTTTCGAAATTTTAAATTTTATAAAATTTCCAAAAATTGACTAAATATTCAATTTTTTTAAAACATAAACTGAGTTTGCAGATTATAAAGCCAATAAAAACTAACACAAAATGCTTCCCAAGCTAAAATTAATTCTTTTTGACTTAGTTATGAGATTTTTAAACTTTGATTTTTTAAAAAAGTGACTTGGAAACAAGTTTTAAGCTTAATTGGATTCAATCCTATGATTCAATTGAAAACTACAAGGGTATATAACTTTAGCTTCCCATAGTTAAATTCCTTCTGGTTATAATTTTAAATATATTTAAAATACATCAGTTGGTCAAAGTCATGGTGAACTGTTTTACCCTAAAATCTGAAGTCGATTGTAGAACATCGATAACCTGCACAAATTGCCAGAGTGCATGGAGGGGCCGCAACGCCTACAGGCCTAATGACCGCACGTAGAACATCTTGTCCTGCGGTCACCATAAATAACAGGAAAGCGCATTTGTCATACGACCTCGCCCCACCTCGAATCCTGATACACGTCACCCACTCCGCAGCCATTCACCTTTCGGTAAACTGCAGTCCTTGGCCTTTGTCCTGGACGTGTTGGGCTGTAAATCAGCTCATTAGTTAAGTTGGCAGCACCTCGAGCTGGCCCAAGACTTGAGGTAACACGTAGCTGCTTTGCAGTGAGAAAACGATTAAGAAATGAGAAACTTGTAAATAAGAAAATATATAAATAAACATATATTAAGGATATGAATTGATATGAATTTCACATCTTCAAAACATATATAAACTTATAACTTACCTTACCGAATTCATATTAACCTCTTCAGAATTTAGATTACGACTAATAGTTACAGAACAATTGATAAACAGTTTAAAATATCTTGGTAATTAGTTATTCACATAATGTTTTTTATAGCTATAAAAAAGGCTTGGCAAGGTATTGAAAGTGATAAAAATCATCAAGCTAATCAAGGATAATAAAGTATCAAGAATCACTTTTTTGTTTTTAAAATTATCTCTAAAAAAACAGCTGTGGAAAGTTTAATAAGCAACTTAAGCTTATCAAGTCATGTTTATGTATTTATCTTATATACTTCACTTATTTTAATTAACTTCAATCTCAAGTATCTTAATAAAATTATTTCCCGCTAAAGTTATTAGATTTTCTCACTGTGCAATTGTTTGTGGCTTGTGCGTCCACTCGTTAAGCTTCATTTAATCAAAACAAAAGTTGGTCTGGTGAAAAATTACCCCATACAAAGGAGGTAAGCGGCGGACTAAAATGCCTCTTTGAATGCTAATAAATCTCGTTCGGTGCGTGGCTGGATCCTGGATCCTGCTAACCTTTGGCAGTGCCAAGTATAATTTAAGCGGCCGAAAATATCTGCGAAAGTTGTGTTGGCCCGGCCAAAAACTTTGGCGAGCGGTCCAAATCAGAGTCGAGGGGATTTAGACGTAGTTGATGATAGCCAGGAGTTAAGCCAATGAAGGATGGGATTGATACGGCAGGACGAGTGTGCGGGAGTTAATGAAGCACGCCTTCCGAGGGTTACAGAGGATGCGAGGATTCAAGGATTCGTGGGAGAAATATGGCGAGTCTGCTGTCGATTGAGTTTAGTGCCTGATGATGATTGTTCTCGGGGGTCGTGACCCCTTTGCTGATTGCCCATTCCCCAGTCCCCAGTCCCGGTTCTAGTGAGCTCCCTGTTATGGCTTGAAACTAATCTTTAAAGATCATTAGCTTCGTTCTCCGAAACTTTTCACAACAATAATAATTTGCCAAATAGCCTTGGGGAGAAGGAGAGGTCAGTCCTTACATTAAGATGTATATATTTAAGGACACCGTGAGCGATGCCGGCCATAATGACGTCAAAGGTTTCGGGAAGCTTTTCATATTGTTGCCTTTAACATTAGCCTTACCTTTTCGCGCTATGATAATGATAATGAGCGTAATGGCAGCGGGTTGAGAGGTGAGAGTCGAGCCGCGCCGATGACTCGGAGCTACTCCAGGTCCGCTAATCTTAATTACTTTTGTTTAATTACTTTGACGTTCTGCCCGCGACCATGACAAGGCAACTTAACGTCCTCATCCTCATCCTCATCCTTTCCGGCATTGTTTCCAGTTTGAAACGCCCGGGGTCATGCAGCTGCTCGGCAGCTTCCTTTAAAATAAATAATGTTTACTTATTATTTTTGACTGCAAATAAAGCAAAGAAGGTAAGAGCGAAAAGAATGCAGGTGGGAGAACTTTCGCGCAGTTAACAAAAGGAGCTTACCTTTTGCCTTCGTGCCATAAGACAAATAAAGGCCACATGCTTTTAGGCGCTTTGGCATCCTGATTGTTCGTGCCTGACCTAAGGCACTCGGTTAAAGAAAAATTCGCGGAAAATACCTGCGTACTTGCGTATTTTGTAAACTAATTTAGTGATTAAAATCTTGACCCGACCGGGGAACGCCAAAGGGCTTGGCCGCGGCCCAGCCAATTAACATAATAATGTTGATTTTTATTGCTGCGCCAAAAAGTTTTGTCATTGACTTTGGCCCAATGTTTGCTCAGGTCCCACCACTACCGCCGGCTAGCCACGACTTTTACCCTGGGCTATGATAATTTAAAGTGCCTGGACATTTCTGGAAATTTGTCACGCTTAAATGTCATAGAGAAGAGAGAACTTATGCCTTATGCCCAGCTCCCAAAATTGTTTGATGGCACATTAAGTGTCTGGCTGGCTTGTGTGGGCCTGCCACAAAGTGCGCACTAAAACTTGATTTTTCTCTGCTCTTTTGCTGCTATCAAATAATTTATGAGGCCAGTGAAAATCACACAAACCGAAACCAGAAAGTGCCCAATATAAATTCCGACAGAGCCAAACGAGCAAAAAGACAAGCTCCAGAGGTATTTTACACATTTAATTATTTGAGTACATCTTGTAATACTCTATGTTACTGTTTATAGGAATAAATAAAGAAATTGGGAAATTAGGAAGTAAATTGTTGCAAGTTAAAATAGTATTTTGGTGCTTGGGATTCATTTTTGAATTAAATTTTCAATAGGATATTTATGAAATCATTACTTTTTTGTATAAAATCGGTTTAATGGTATAGGTTTCTCTTTAAATTTGAACCCTTGCTAGCATTATGCTTATTACAAATTATTTACAATAAAATATTTATAAAATTGGTAATAAAAAATATTATGTTTATTTCCAAATAAACGTTCCATTGGTAATACCCTAAGGAGAAAGGATATCGTTTCACCTACGCCACTTCAGAATGCGTTTTACAGGCCATGGCCTCAGAAGTATGCAATAAATGTTAAGGCCAGGCTGAGCCGGCGGTTGGCTTATGACGTTTTAAATGCCAAGAGGGCTTAAATTCACCAGCAGTAGCTCCTGAAAATATCTGTTAAAATGTTTCTGTAAAAGCCAAAAAAGGGGGAAAAGTGAAAAAACCATCAGATGGGTTTCTCGGCCAACTGTGATTCGATGAATCAGTTTGGGAATTGCGACTGCCAAGTGATATGTTTATCAGTTGGCGCTGGTCCAAGTAAGCTATTCACTGGATTTCAGGCAGTCGATACAGAAGCACACAACTTCCAAGCAAACTGATTTAGAAACTTTCTCCAAATACCGTGATGGTGAGCCAGACGGCGATTTCAGTCGCTGCCTTCCTGCAGATGTGGGGCAAGACCTTCTTCGTGGACCAGCCGATGGACGAGTGCTCGCCGGCTCCTTCGGTGGGTGCCACCATCTTCCTGGCGGCCATGTTGCTGCTGATTTGGGAGTGCAACATCCTGCCGAAACTCTATCGGCAGCGTGCCCCGTATGTCTTTGTCGTAGTTGATATCCTGGTCACTGTCTTCGTCATGGAAGTGATCATCCAGCTGGGCTGGTGTAACTACGAGCGGATCACCCACAGAATGGTGAGTATGGTCTGCTGCAACAAGGTGTGGTGCGAATACGGATTGATGGCCACCATCACCACTGTGGGTGCTTTTGCCTCACTTTGCGTGGTGGTTGAGGTGGTGTGTCCCGCCAGGATTAAGGACTCACTGGGTGAGGTTCTGGACATCCTGCCAATTCCAGAGAGCGCCGAATCATTGATCAATTACGTCCAGGATGTGCGCAGTTACGTTATGGGAGCCATTTACTTTAGCCAGTTGACCAGGAAGCAGCGTCTTTAGCCGTTCGAGCCTTTGAACTTCAAGTGCGAAACTCTATGATCCACAAAAACAAGCAGTCGAAGGAGGAACAGGAGAAAAAGGACGAAAATCCCATACAGGAATCAGTGGAAAATTTGGAAGAGGAGCAGCCAGCGGAGCTGAAGGAAGATCTGGAAAAAGAGCAATCAGCAAAGCTGGAGGAAAATATAGAACAAGAGCAATTAAAGGAGTTGCAAGGAAATCTGGAAAAGAATACACTGAAACTAGAGGATCTGCAGGATCTGCTGGACTTACATGCTGACGAGTAGCAGACGTCACAGTTGGATCAAAAATCGTTCATTCCAAAGCGTAAATTGTTTATTATTTATACAAATTTATGCCAGCAGCTGTTGCTATCGCCAAGCCTTATTGTTGTCGTCCTTTCTTTCTTTTCCGCTTGTTTTGCGGGCTTTGGGTGTTGCCTTTCAGCTTTCGATTTTCCGGCATTCGGTCGTCGTCCTTTGTTTGCTTTTCATTTTTTGCTCCAACTGTTTTCCTTGCGGTGGCCATTTTAATTTTTGCCTTTTTTTCTCGTTGTTGTTGTTGTTGTTCTCCTTCGTCCCGCCGTTGCCATGTTAGCCGCAATTGATTTGCCGTAAATTGTATTTTTAATCTGTCCGACAAACGCTCGACATTCGATTTCATTTCGTTACGTTCCTTTTTTGGAATATGTTGAAAGCGATGCTGTTTGTATTTCGGGAGGGCCAATTGTAAACGGTGGCTGGGGAGGGGAGAGCGAGGGTGTTAATGAGTGTGTCAAGGGTGTTATTTATGGTATAGGTAACGTGGGCAGGTTCGGAAATCGTTTAAAATCGTTTAAATTTAAAAAAGGATATCATTTACATCAAAAAATGATGTTATGAAAACCTGTTAAGGAAATGTGGCTCTTTAATTATGTTATTGCATAATTTAGATTCAATTTTGTTTAGCCAAGGAAGAATCAGACTTTACCTTAATTTTAATCTGCTTAAAAACAAAACTAACATGAAAAGTATTACCCATTATGTTAAAAAAACGGTAAGCGTTATATTTGTAGTATGAAATTTCGATAAACTATAGTTTCGATAGTTTAGTTTTAGTTTGTGAAATTCCTTTGGATATCGTTTTAAGTGCTTTCAAATCCACAATGATTTATATGGCATCCATTTTAATATATTTTCATTAATATTTTCTATATTCGTTCTATTCCGGAATCTATAAAATTTATGTTTTTAATTGAATCAATTAAAATGCCTAGCATAAATTTCAATTTGGTTTTGTTTTTGTTTAGATATATCGTCTAAATATAGTATTTTCCCTTTTAGCACATTACAGGCCAATAAAAATATTCGGTTCAATTTATTTGTAGATTTTTAGAGGCAATCGATTAAATTGCAAATTGAGCGCCGGGTGGCACTCTTCAAAGAGCGAGTAAATAAAAATAAAGTGCCAGAAAAACAAGAGTCGAGCATTATTTTGGCAGATGCTTTGGAAATACTAATATGATTGACAGTCGCCGGAATCGCATTAATGTCACTCCCAGGACACGTTCAGCGCCTCCCCTCTAGATCCTTTGGCAGCCCCACAAATGTTGCCCCAGTGTTGAGTAATTGAATTTGTGCTTGTGATGATTTGATGTTGATGGAATTGAGCTGAATGGGAGAACAAGGAAGAAGTATATTAAATATTTCACATCTCACATGTCGGGTAGGAAGTTGAAGCTTCAGGTAGTTCTGTCTTAAAATACGCTCTATTGTTTGCTATCGAGAGAATTTGATTGACTGCAACTGCATTTGTTTGCAGCTTCAAGGACCTCGAACAAGATCGTGGCTGGACTTACCCCAAAAGTGACTTTCAAGTGAAATCAGAGTTCTATGTATATAGCTTAGCTTAGATTATCTTCACGCACTCTCGGATTAGCCCAGCTGCTGCTCTTCTCGGTCCCTGCATTATCCGAACTTAACTGCCAACTGTCGTTACATTCCACTCCTTAAGGATGCGTGATAAGGAGGGGTCCTGTCAACGCGGCGAATGGAGAAGAAATATGTGAGCTCCGGGATGGCAGTGTACATATGTTAGCACATTTTTAAATGTATTTGTGTCAGGCTGGAGTCGTGACTGCAGTAAATTCTTGACTGCCCGAAAATTCCCAGAAAACGGAGAATGGCAAACTTGCTTGAAATGAGCATTTCAACATTTTCAACTTAAGCAAAGGACCTCCGACGAAAATAGAAAAAAGAAAACACGAGGAGACAGGAAAACTCGCAATGCATGTCTGCAATTTTTTAAGCAAACATTTTATTTGCTGAAATGCTAGAAATATACAAAAGAAAAACGGTAGCAAGAAAAGGACTTGAGACACACAACCCACATCAAAAGAGCAACTTCTGCATCTTTCCTGGCCACTCCTTGTCGATGTTGTTGTTGTTATTGTCGTTGACATGCCCTCCTGTTGACATTCTGATACAAATCTTCAATAAAATAAAAGCAGCTCAAGTGACCATAGCGTAAACAAAAGCAGAACTAGAGCTGGAAGGAACTAAGGAGACAATCTGGTCCGATTGCAGTGCGGAGAATAAACATGAGGCATAACGGTAAGTGGCTAAGAATAAGGAAAAAAAATCAAAAGGACATGTCTCAAATCTGACTTGATGAGAGCCAGTTGATTGCCACTAAGTTGGACAATTGTTTGATAAGCCAAATAGTTTATTCAATGACCAAATGTCTGATATCTACCTTTTGGCTTTATAAATACATGTATTTTATTTGGTAAATACAAAGCTTGTTCTTGCAAACATTTACATATTTGCATTATACATGGACTTTATTTGGTGAGGTCCTTGGACTTTATATTTACCCTACCAAAGTGAAATATACAAAAATGTATATACTATATACAACAATATTTAATAACTTTTAGCCTGAATGAATTGATATTTATACCTTTAACAAATGATTAAGCTAGAGCTAGCTCTTAACCATTATAATCCTTGATGAATGCAGTTAATACCAATAAATGCATTTTATTAAGTGGAGTAAAGACTGCTTAATATAAAGAACTGAAGAGCCTTCTTTGGTATTTTATAATATGTTATAGATAACCCCCTTAAGTCATCTAATATAGTATTCAGATATTGTAAATCATCTCTCCGATAGGCCATAAATTGTGTCCCATAATTGATCGCAAAATAGCCTTTTAGGCCACCTAAGCTCCCCCGTAACTTCTTCAATTTTCATCCAGTCTGAAAATCCTTTGTGACATCTGTCCCGTGTATCCTTTTCTACTGTTTGGGCGGTGCTCTTGTTATCCCTGCCTGTGGTCAAGCATATGGCGCAGGACACAGGACACAGGACACGGGACAACATGTTGTCCAAACCCCGCACACACACACAGTCTCACCGGAAAATCACGTAACAACAACCACAGCAACAATAAAAAGGCGTCGGGAAACAGCGGGGAGGGGGCGGCGACGAAGAAAAAGTTGTTAGCCAATTTACTAAATGTCCAGTGTGTGTTGAATTGTTGAAGCTCGTTTGCCGCTTTGTGTACTTTTTCGTGTTTCGTATTGAATAACAAATTATTTGTAGCATATGCTTGGGGGCCTGCGAAGGACCTCCAGGACGAAGGCCGGATGGGCGTTAAACGGCTTGTTGGTCCAGCCTGCTCCAGAGCGAGTCCTGTGGTGAAGATGGAGATTCCCGAGATGGAAATGGAAAAGAGTAAATAAGTTGAAAACAGGAATTAGTCCACTTAGTTGTGGGATAGTTTAATGTTCTCCTTGGACAGGCACATCAAACGGGGTTAAAGTTCAAATGTAGTCAACTTTTCCGGCTCTTTTGGCACAACTATCTTTTTTCGGAATGGAAAGTTACGTGAGTGATTTCCCAATGAATATGCGGCCACAGAGGGGAAACGCTTTTGAGTGCCGATGCCGAAGAGCGTACAAGTTTTAATACAATTTGTAGGCTCTGGCTTCGGCCCTGGCTCTTCATTAGGATTTTTATTCCTTTTTTTACTGTTTTTATGGCCTGGCAGAATCGAGAAATTTATTGCCGCAAGTTCAAAGCATTTCGATGGCTGGCATTTTTCTAAATCGACCTCGACACGCTTGCTGCATTTTCAATTGCATTTCCAATAAATTGTTTCCAGCCTCGAGGAGTTCTCCCTCCTAATCCTCCTCCTCCTCCTTCTCCTTTCCCCACTTTGCCAAATTGGGCGAGGATAAAAAGAGGAAGGGAAAATTCGCGTAGCATTTAATTTTCACATGACTCTGGTGAACTGCAACTGAGAAATGCGTTTAAGGTTATCGGGCGGGTCCTCCCGGGGCGGCAAGTGGGCGTGGTCGGGTGTAATTAGGCACTGTTAATTAGGTCGTAATTGGAGTTTTTGAGCGAGGTTGCGGGGTCGAAAGTTAGTCGAGGGTGACGATTCCCCCAAGACATTACTTAGGCGTAAGAAAGGGGCGAAATAAATGATTGCCTCAAGTCGTGTCGGATGCTCTGGGAGCAATGAAAACTAACAATCTGGCCAAAGATATTTTCAATAAAATTATTGTTATTAGCTTTTAAATTGGGTTAACTCACTTAAAGCAATATTATGATTTCAGTTTGGCTTTTATTTCCAATATTAAGCACATTGCAAACTTGTTTCAAATGCTTTGTTATTATAGTTAAAAAGGCAAATGACTGTATTTCATAAAGTTAATTATTTGACATTGTTAAATTATTTCATTTTAAAGCAATCAATGTTTATACCCCTGCAGGGTATTATTATTTCAGTTAGAAGCTCAAAACTCAATGAAGAAATCATTTGCGACCCTATAAACCATATATGATATATTATTGATCAGCATGAACAACCGAATCGATCTAGTAAGGTCCGGCAAATGTTAATTTTTTTCAAATTTTGAAAATTTTATTAAGGGTTACATCATTAAAATTGTCAAAATTTAACAAAAATGTAGTTTCCTAAATTTACAAAATTAATATACAGATTTGTTAGCCCTATAAAAACTAGCACAGAAAAGCCTTCCGAATTAAAATTAATGCATTTTTGACTTAGTTATGATCGATTGGAAGTTGGAATTCCTCAGTCAATTCCAAGGGTATGACTATAGTTATAATACCTTGTATATTAAAACATAAATAACTACTTTTAACAACTACAATGGGAAACCACAAATTTACCAAAATCGAGAGAACAGTTAAATCTTAAGCATAAATCCCAAAATTCTTATTTAAATATTAAGAAGCAAGCAGTAGTAAACTCTAGTCTCATCTAACTTTAAAAAATTTCTTAAGCTGATAAAATCAAAGTAAGACCTAACTTTATTGGGACTTTTTGTCAAACAGCAGTGGTATAGAAAAGTAAAAATATATCAATATATATTCGAATGTTCTGCTTTAGACAGAGCTAAATATATACAAAATAATAAAACAAACAAGATACATATAGGACACACATATTTTCCTCCCACAATAAAGCACACTTTAACAGAATTAAACATTTTATTTAATATAATTTCCTTAACCTAAATGAATTTTACCCATAACTGGCTTCCATTGTCCGGCACATCCTTAAGGCAGCATCCTTTTAACGTTCCCAAAGCCCAACTGAACTTTAATTGGACATGGCCTTGCCTTTTATAAGGTGCCTTCGGCCAATCAGAGCTCAGAAAGCGAGGTTTCTAAATTCCAAAAAATGCGGGTAGCTGGTGGTCGAAGCTTTACGAAACTAAGCTTGGAAGTTTTCATATATTGAAGCTTTTTATTCAGGGGAAATTTACCATTATTTGTGTGAAGCTTTCAGGATATTATCCTTATGTTATTCAACATAAATGGTATGTTACTTACAGCGGAAGTGGGGAGTTTGACAGCTATGTTAAAACTAACAGAAATTCGTTAGTGTTAATAAGAAGCTTTAAAATGTAAGTTAACAGTAACAGTGGCAGAGGACTATGTTAAGTAAAATGTTACGAAATTAACATTTTACTCCTTACTGTTAATGAGAAGCCTTAACATAACAGTCAGGCCTGTAACATAACAGTTCCAATGGCAAAGGACTATGTAAAGTAAAATGTTACGAATGTATGTTAAGTGGCACTGCAATGTTAACATTTCTTTGAAAGCAAAACTTAAACAATTTAATTATAATGCAATGCTTTAAGATGAACTCGAACACTAAATTGAGTTTTAATGCATTGTTTTTAAATGAATTTTAAATTTTAGCTAAAATTTAACATTTTTAAATGGTATTCTTTAGCCTTACGAACTATCAAAGCCGGTTATAACTCTGTTCGCTGGCTCTGCGAAAATTGCACAGTAGCTGCCGCCAAATTGACAGCCATTTGGCATTCGATACTCTCTGGCTTTTGTGGTTAAAACAAATTAAGTGGAATTAATTTGACTTTCTCTGACTTTTCACCTGTGCATCCGCACACTCACTAACACACACACACACACTCACTCTCGCACACACACAAAATGGGTGCTCAGGCTGTGCGTGTGTGTGTTATTGCTGCATTTATGATTTCCGAAAAAGCCTCGGAAAATAAGTCTGGAACAAGCCTTTGTTTGTAATGCTCATTTTGCTGTTTCGCTGTATCTGACATTTCGAGTAGCTCCCCTTTCGCCTTCCTGCATTAAATATTCATCATGGAAAAAGCCCAGGCAACAACAACAACAAAAAAAAATATATATAATAGGAAGAAAAAAACATGCAGTAGAGCCCATATATCCACCTGTATTCATACAGGAGATGTTTATGGTAATTTATACCCCGGTGCGGAGATTGAAATTCATGTAAATAAATTGCACCTGTAAAAATAATTAAAGTTGAAATCGCTCGCTCTCTCGCTCGCGATGGCTAAAATATGAACTCCACCTTTCACTTGCCAGTGCATAAATTTACTTCCCCACACAGCCATTTATATCTGGGCTGCATACACATTTCTTTTATATATATCCAGCTACTTGTTATTTGTTATATAGTGGCGGGAAAAAAAAAAAAGGGAATAAAATAATATAAAAACTTGCCCCAGACGACGGAGCACTTGAGTTGTGGGACCTTCGCTTCGAGTGGACTTCAGACAGCCCCTTGCAATAACAAGGACGATCCACGTGCAAAAATTCTTTTGCTATTTTTCGAGCCAAGCAGGAGGAGGCTATGGTGCCCCGACAAATATTTTTATAATTTCCTTTTTCGTGAAAATTTGCATTTTTCTGTTGCGCTGCGTTGTGTTGTGCCTGCCATTTCCGCTTTGCGCTTTGCCACTTTGCCATTTCCGGTTTTGACGGCTTGATGGGAATTCTATTCCTTGGCCATAATTGCAAAGTTCCCTCCTGCTCCGGGCCCGAGAGCTCATCCCCAAAAGAATGTCCGCAAACAATTCGGAGTGATTTTCAATGCGAGTGCGAATGAAATTAAGCAATCTCGATATACCTGAGGCATTCATCTGCTTCAGTCTGCACCTAATGGCGTTCGGCATCGCACGGAAGTTGTCTGCAATTTGAGCACAGGTCCTGTCAGAGTTATTCACACGAATAATTAATGCTCGTTTGCTTGCCAAATTTGTCGAAGTTAAAAATGAGGAAATGGGAACCATTCCATTTTTCCATTTCATTTTATTTCAGGGCGTTGCCTCATAGGCCTTAAAGTATGAGACACAATGTGTTTTTCCTTTCAGTTTTGCTTACCTAACATTATATATGTTATTATATCCTTTTAACTTTGTTCAACATCAAGCATAATAATACTTGCTTTAAAGTATTTGTTTTCGTTTCAGACATTGCATATTTAAAATGCATATAAATAAATATTAAAAACAGTTTATATTGTTTTGTTTACATTTTTAATAACAAACATATTACCACCAGTTTCATCCTTATTATTATTTTCTGAAAAATTTCAATTCAATTTTTTTTTTGTAATAGGATTAAATTAACACTGTGGAATATAAAGGTGTGGCTTCCACTTTAATATCACTAATTTTTAATCTGAGCTCACAACTCCGGACAATCATACCAGAAAACCCTGTCCTGCATAATTGCAACTCATTGACAATTGATTACGCATTACTGAAATTTAATTATTAATATTAATATATCAATTTGTATTTAATTCATCCTTCCTGCGAAACAGCAAATTTATTTGCCATTCATTAAATCTTTAATAATTGGACGAGCTGCCGGGCTCCCGGGCGAGCGGAGTCTAATTAACATTTAAAATTATCAGCTGGCATAAACTGTTTGATGGCCATAAATAAATGCCGAGGAATGGAGGCACCAAACTTTGCAGACAAGGCAATATGAAATGCACCAAAAAGGACCATAAGGAGGCCAGTTCCGATGGCTGTTTCCTTCGTCTCTCCTGCGCCCCATTGTGCCCAACAGGACGAATGGCTATGGCGGCGTATAAAAAACAAATATATCAAAGCGAACAAGAGGCATAAATGTAGCATAATTTAAATAAAATTGCATTAATATGTTCCCTTCGTCCAAAGAAGGACTCCCAGCTTCCAGCCGGCGGTGTGGTATGTCCTGGGCACGGTTCCAGCCAAAAGCTGGGATCTGCCGGCCATAATTCATTTGGGGCAACCCGAAATCGCACAGTCTGCTGCTCAACAAATTCACACCGAAAAATCAAAAAGCAATAATGATGCTCGAAATGTGAACAACCCGGCGGAGAAGGGGTTGCACCACCTCGGGGAATGGACGAAGGAGGGAGGGAGCATGTCTGGCCACAGCTCCGGACAAGTGTGTGTGTGTTTGGGCTACGTGGCAAACTTTTCGAGTATTTGTCGTTATAAATTTGACATCAATTGCCACGGCATGTGGCCATCGGAGCCCTGACAGCAGCCTAGGTGAGGGGCCCCGAAGTGATTTCGGGCAAGGAGAATTGGCCTGAATGCGAGGAAAATTCTGAGCAGGCTTCGAGCTGAAGAAAGTCTTTTCGAAATGGAAGTGGAAAATAAAGGTGGTCTCAGGGAAACTAAACATGATTATAATCAGTAGCTAATTTTACTAGATCTATATTTTTATTTCTATATTATTTAAACTACATATCATCTATAAACATATAAAAAATTAACATAAAACTATGGCTCTCACATCATGATGCATAGCAATGACTACGTCACAGTCTCTATAGTTGATTTTACTTCAGGTTTATTTGCGTCTGATTGTTCTGTTACTTAGTTCCAAAGCTTTAGGTTTTCCTAAAGTAAAAATACAATTCAATATGAACATATAAATGATGTGGCTCTTTTTACTGATTAGCTGTATAATTTTATGAATCCCTTTGGAACCATATCGGAAGTAATTTATTTCTATAGCTGTGCCCACAGCAGCTCACTTGGCTCTACTCTCCGACGAACTTTATTTTCCGGCTAATTTACAGTACACATCTAAGTTTCACCGAGAATGGATCTGGTTATGTCGGCAAAATTAATATTAATCGGTTTCCTTTTTCTCTTCAAATACTCATATATAAATTGCATTAGGATCAGGGAGGATTACTGTGAAATGTACTGTGGAACATGTAGAAACAGGACGTGTTCGGTTTCAAATAATATTTTAACCACTGATGATTATCAAATAATGGAGGTTTTTCTAGTTTTGAAATTTACTTGGACCAATCCGTTTTTTCGCGGCGAGTGGAATATTTATAAACTCTCAAACGAAACGGATATCAAACTAGTGAGAGTATCTGTGTCCGGTATCCCTAGTGCTAATGATGTCAGATTTCGTACTAGCAAATTTTATCTACGATCACTTGGTATTAAGGATATCACAGGCTACAATGTGGAATCTCCTTCTTTGAAAGTAGAAGAGCGTGACATTACCTATGCAAATGGACCCGAAACGTTGACTTTACGCTATTTATCTGACAATGTAGTTAACTCAGCTGTAGCAAATAATTACATACGGCAGAGTGAGGATAACTTAAAACGAATTGCAATTGTTTCTTCAATTCCAACACGGCAATTGACTTTTGAAATAGGAGAAGCCACGTTTGAGAGAAAAATTGAACTAACAAGTCTGACATTTGCTGGATTAGAAGTGGAATATCTAAATGCAAAAACTTTTCATAATATGCTGAACTTGGAAATGTTAATTTTAGACAATGTCGTCTTGGAAGATCTATCGTTTCTAGAGTGAGTATGATTACAAATAGCACTAGGTTATGGTCAACATAACAGGGATTTCTTTCAGGTCAAATGCACTTCGACAAACTCTAAAAGATATAATAATAAAGATTGAGGATGAAGTGGATATGCAAGTCTTTGGCTCATTCTCCAAGCTTACGACCATTGAAGTCGATAAGTACATACCTTTCAAAAACCAAACCGCCTTTATATGTCGCACAGGTGATGTATTATGTGTATTTCGCATGGGTACAAATGGTATACCCTGTCCTCCTAAATGCAAGTGTCAATATAATCGGAACAATCGTGAGTTCGAAATCAATTGCTCACAGCGATATCTATTCCTAGTTCCGACCTTGCCAGTTCCTATAGCGGGAATAACATCACTGCTCCTTCAAGGAAACTATATAACCAAATTGCCCAATAAGACCTTGGCAGGCTATAATAACGTAAAAAAGCTGAATGTGTCACAAAACGAACTAACTAGTCTTAGTATTAGTCAACTGCCCACTAATCTTGACGATCTGGATATAAGTTATAATCAGATAAGCTATTTAGATCCAGAGGTCCTTGAGTACGTTACAAACCTAACCCATTTCAAACAGTTTGGCAACAAATGGATTTTCTACTGCAACGAACTACATCTTTTAGAATTTAGTTGGAGAATGAGGAAATCTGTACGCATTTTAAAGGATAGCTTCTCGCATGTATTGGAAATGATGGATAAAACAACGGCAGGGTCAGCAGCTTTTTTAAAATTTTTTTTTAATTTGAATCCTAAAAAATTGTACTATGAAGCAGATGAAGATGCGATACTAACTTCCATGGGCAGTGGTGAAATTTATGTAAACCTCAAGATAATGGAAGATTTTCATAGGTTGATGTGGATCTTTTCAGCTGAATACGATGAAATTATTATGTACCACCTTAACGCTTCGTGTCCGTATAGATGTGAGTGTTGCGTCGACCCTGAATCGGGACAATTCATAATTAATTGCATGAAAATGTACCTTGAGTTCTATCCTATCCTGCCAAAATCGCTTCAGTACAACACGACACTAAATCTCGATGGGAATGAAATATCAAAACTTAGCGAACCTCCATTCCTGGTTATGCCGGGACATGCTACGATCCAGGAGCTGCATATCCAGAATAATCGTCTAACTGAATTCCCACATCACTTGCTCCCCGAGAATCTCACATACCTGGATGTGCGAAACAATTCCCTGAATACTCTCGATGATGACGTTGTGGGCTTTATGAGGTTTCGCGAGGGAATAACAGAGATTAAGCTATCTGGAAATCCCTGGAAAAGCGATTGCAGTACGAAATCCTTCCTATCACTTCTCCGAGAGAGGGAACCGGAAGAATACGCCAAGACCCTGAACCGCAGTGGTGTCATTTCCAGTGGAGGATGTCCTGATGCCTGCATTTGCTGCCTGGACCAGAGCTCCAAGGATCTTTCCATCATTATCGACTGCACGTCCAAGGGTCTGCTGGACATACCTCCGTTACCTATACCAACAATTGGCCAAATAACACTCTATTTTGATGGAAATTTCCTCGAGGAACTACCTTCGATCTCCCTGCCTGGTTTCTCCAGAGTGACACGTCTCCATGTGGCCCACAATCGGCTGACCATTATCGATAAACTGCCGACAGACCTAGTGTATCTGGATATTCGAAAGAATGGAATTTCAGTACTAAACGATAGCACTAGGGAGTTCTTCGATAAAAGGATGAACTCCTCGCATCTGGAGCTCTTGCTCTCTGGCAATCCCTGGACTTGCGACTGTGAGAATTTGGATTTTTTGGAGTTTGTTAAGCGGCAAGCCAAGTATATTGGGGACACATCCTTAGTTGTCTGTTCTGACACCGGGTTACCCCTAATTGAGACCGAGGAGAGCGACATATGTCCCTCCGCCTTCATTTACTACGCCGCCCTCGCCGCCTCAATGCTGGTCGTGGCCTCGTCGATCAACGTTTTCATTTGCTTTAGGCAGCCCATCCTGATATGGTTTTACGAGCACGAAATATGCCTCAGCCTGGCAGCGCGACGGGATCTGGACCAGGACAAGAGATACGATGCATTTCTAGCCTTTTGTCACAAGGACGAGGAGCTTATAGAGGAGTTTGTGGAGCGACTGGAGCAGGGCAAGCACAAGTTCCGGCTGTGCTTCTACCTGCGCGATTGGCTGGTGGGCTCCTCCATACCCGATTGCATCAGCCAGTCGGTCAAGGACTCCCGACGCATCATCATTCTGATGACAGATAACTTCCTCAAGTCCACCTGGGGCCGTCTTGAGTTCCGCCTGGCCCTGCATGCCACCTCAAAGGATCGTTGCAAGCGACTCATTGTCGTCCTTTATCCAGACGTGAAAAACTTTGATGACCTGGACAGCGAGTTAAGGACCTACATGGTACTTAACACTTATCTGGAGAGGAATAACCCGAACTTTTGGAATAAGCTTATTTACTCGATGCCACATACTTAGCTATATTTTTGGAAAATAAGTTAGGGCTTTCTTACAAGTTCTGAATTTTAATATATTTTTTTTTAAGAATTGAGAAAAATTTTAAAAAATATTGCCGATTACAAAGTTTCCTTTTTTGAATGTGTATGCAAGCCAAATCTTTTTACTATACATTTTTGATATATTATTTTTGATTTTCTTGAAGCTTTTTGAATTTTCATTTATTTTAAATAAATTTGCGCCAAACAACACATGAAAGAAGGTCATGAATAAGAAACTTATACTTGCAGCCCTGACTCAACGAAGGACCACCATAACTGCCAGGGCTACATCATACTCCAGTCATCAGTGTTGCCAGACTTTTAGGCTGGCGCTACCAGACTTAAAAGTCTCGATAGAGCGAAAAGAATCGATGTTCTGACAAATAGTTTAACGAATCACTCACTTTTAAAATTTGAATAATATTTTTAAAATTATTGAAAATCAGCCCTAGGGTTGTATTAAAAATAAAAAAACAAAATTTTTATTAACTTGGCCTCGTAAAACTAACTTAGAAAACTGATAACTGAGATTATTTCCTTAAAGGTCTTAAGCATTATTTACAAAATTGTGATATTTATTGAAAAATATTAGTTTATTAACTATGTCCGGGTAAAGGGGCCTCCTGCGGTCTGTTTAAAATTTAAAATTTTTTGTATTATATATAATATAATTCAAAATTAATCTGCCCTTTTACATATGTTTTCTTTGCTGTTCCTCTGATAGTGACGGCACAGAAACATTGATGGTCAAAAAATCATCGATGTTTAAGAAATTCGAAAGATATCGATGCATCGATGTTTTCCATCGATGTTTTCGCACCTCTCAGCACTAGCAGAAATAGAAAATTTGACAAGAAGTGCATACAATGCAAAGTAAATAATTAAAGTGCCCCATTAAGTGACCGATATCGCGAGGCCCCGAGCTTACGCGTTGCATAAACTATCCTCGAAGAGTGCGCGCGGTGCGACAATTATCGTGGAAATTGCAAAAGTTTTGGCAGCGGCGAGTCTCCCAAATAACAGCGGCCCAACAGCGAGTCTAAAGTAGCACAGTAGCGAGTGCCTGGCCAATGTGGTGCAGCCCCCCGTCCTCCGCCGCCCGCGCCGATACAAACGTCGCCGTCGCCTTCGTCTCCTCCCGCTAACGCGCAAAATATACGCGACTAGTTGTAGTTGTTGGCAGCCTTTGTGAGCAGTAGTAACGGCAGAAACGGGGCGAAAAAGCGAGCAATTCGAAGGGACGGGCAGTGAAAAGCCAATTAGCAGTGCCCGGGAAGCTGGCCCGTGTCCAGGCGCGGATCCCAGCCAGCGCTCGTTGACTGCGGCTGTGGTGCAGCAGCAGCTGCTGCCACCTAACGATATTCCGCCGCCGTTGTTGTGGTTGTTGTTGTGCCTTTGCACCCACCACACGTAACTAGAGCACACACACACACACACTTGCACAGCTACACACGGAAACACGCACTCTCGGGCTCACAGAGCAGGGAAAACGGCGATCCACAGCGAGGCGCGAAGTAGATGCAGGATCACACACGGACCTGGGATCGCAAGCTGAAACACTGGAAAACTGGAAATGATTTGCAAACAGGACGTCCTGCTGTGGTTTGAGAAACTCGAGAGCTACAATCGCATCGAAACGATGTACGCTCTGCTCACCGCCTGCCTGCCGTTCGAGCTGCGCTTCCTGGGGACGCTGCTGGAGGAGCAGGGCAGGTGCGACTCGGAAACGCTGCGCGGGATGGAGCTGCGGGCGAACAATCCGCATGAGCTAGCGGCGGATATGCTCACCTGTCAGAAAGGCGACCCCACCGACCGCAAGATCCGGCGCAAGATGGCTCTTTACCTGGCCCTAATCCGTGCCTGTAACCGCAATTGCGTGAGCGAGATCTTCCGTACTCTGGAGTGCTGGGGCGAGTGCGACTTCAGCTGCATCAATGACCAGGACACGCTGCTAGAGCTGCTGCTGGTCTATACCATGGCGGCCATCCACCCCGTTTTCTCCATGGACGAGCAGAAGAAGATCTTTGCCATACTGGCCAAGATCAAAGAGAACAAGCTGGTGATGGAGAGGTTTTTGCCACAGGCGCAAATGGAGGCACAGCAGTCGCAGACGCCACCAGTGCCGTCGCACCCGCTACCGCCATCCCCCCACGATATGATTCTTCAGCAGCAGCAGCAGCAACAGCATGTGATCCACCAGATGCAGGCGCAACAGCCGCCACCGCATCCGCAGCACCCGCAGATGGTGCAGGTGCTGCAGGGTAATATACCCATGATATTTCCCCAGCACTTTTCCAAGGTAAGTACAGACACACACATAAATGGTCAAATCATAGAAGACAGATAAACACAACTGTCTCCTGATATACAGCTCCTGCCCAGCTCTGACGGCACGCACCAGATCAGTGTGGAGGGCATGCCGCACCTGATGCAATCGAACATCACCATTCCAGCGGACACCAGTGCCATTGTCGGCCACCAGAACACGGGGTGGACGATGCGTCACTACCCTCCACCACCGCCCCACCAAGTGCCCGCTCCGCAGCAGCAGTCGCAGAGCGTGGACCATCAAGTGCCACCAGCCAGCTCGCCTATGCTGAGCCAGCAGTCCTCACCGTCAAGCAGCCGCACAACAAGTCCCCAGCGGGACCGCTCCCTCATCAATGTTCCCTTGCAGGCGCAACAGCAGCAGCAACAGCAACCACATCAGCAGCAGATGAGGAGTATGTCGCAACGATTGGTGGGGCAGAAGAATGCTCGACGTCCTTCGGTGGAGACAACGCCGCCGCCCTCCTCCGTGGGCGGCGATCAGCAACACGATGTAATTATTTATATAGTTAAGTATTTTATAATAAATTTAAATGCATTATTCTTTCTTTCAGAATATCAGCGAAGGTGTCAGCAGCAATTCCAGTGGCACCAGCCTGCACAGTCTCATACGCAACGGTTTCCCGCGGCCAGGACACCATCGGGTAAAGGCAAACACCTTCATACCCCATCACCAACAGCAGCAACAGCAGCAGCCGCACTTTCAGAACACCAACTACAACATGAACGTAATGATGCAGAGTATGAATATAAACGACGACGGAAGCGGATCGATGATGGGTATCAACTCTGCGAAAAGTACGGCCACCACGGGCAGTGAGTCTGGGAGTTCGAATGGATCCTGCGGAGACCTGTCACCCTCGGAAACGCCGACGCCAACTGCGCAATTATCACTGCCGCTGCACAGTACGGTGGATACGGGAATGGGCATGATCACCACGGTAGTTCCCAGTAACCTGGGCAGCTACCAGCAGAAGCAGCATCACCTCAGCTACAAGCAGCAACAGCAGCAAATGAACCTGCAGCAGCGGCTAAACGGACGAAATGGTATGGATAAGAACTACCAGCAAATCTACACAACAGGCACGCCCAGCGTTGTCAGCGATGCGCAAACCATCAGCAGCGGCAGCTTGCAGCAACAACAGCAGCAGCAGGCGTTACTTATCAGTCCGTCGCCGGTGAGCACGCCCACAACAACAGTCCTTTTGCAGCCTCAACCGCCACCGCCCGCAGCCTACAATGCCAGCTATCCATATCACCAGCGTGGACCACCGCCGCCACAGCAGACAATTTTCCAGGCGCATGGCGCACCGCAGACAGTGCGCGGTGGTTTCCGCTATCCAATGGGGCCGCCGCACAACGGTGAACTCATCTACCCGGCCTTCCACTTCCTGCCGGTACAGCCGGGCGGCACACCCACCGCGGTGACACCGCCCCAGCTGCAGAGCACGGCGGCTGTGGTGAGCACGAACGCGGTTACGGTGCAGACAGTTCCAGCGCCCCAGCAGCAGCCGCAACAGGTTCCCAGTACGACGCCGTATAGTGCGTTGACCGTTTGTCCCATAACGGGAGCAGGTGGTGGTGGAAACAATGGCCAGAAGGTGATCTCCTGCTACAACTGTGGATCGCAGACGCACAGTGGTCGGGACTGCCAGGAGGCGTCCATGGAGGATGTGACGCGGAGTGCCAGCTACAAGCTGGACTACTCGGAGACGAGCATGGATACGAATTCCACGGGTGACCACCACAAGGATTTGGGCGGCATGCAAATCAGTGCGACGACGACAACGGCGGCGGGCACTGTGGCCAGTACGGGGAAATAATACGGAGGGCCCGTACATTCGCGGACGTATATGGACATATAATTACTGCTATAATATTAATGATTATGCATAATCCTTACCTACTTATTACGAATTACCATTTATTAAGATTGTGTAGTGTGCGGAAATCAAATTTCCCGCCTTTGCCACGTCTCTTAGTTCCATAAGCATGCCTCTCGACATTTGCGTTAATTCGATTCTTCTTCAGAGATCGAGGCAGGCAGACAGGCAAGCGTCTGCCTGAGTCTTGACAACCCTTATCCGTAAATAAGAATGATTTAGACGGACGCGCGCCCAAGACACACTCACACACACACACACATAGTCGATAACGAATTTTAGTCATATGCCACACTCTAAATATTTATAATGTTAAGTTGTATGTAAATGAGCAATAAGGAAACAAATTCGTAATCCTAATCCTAATCCGCGTTTCGTCGCAGAATCAGTTCAGTAATTACACACTACTCTCGTGGGCAGAGTGTTACAATAATAACCGCGATCGAATTAAGCTAAAGAACCATTCATTACGTAAGCCACGACACGTAACGAAGGAGATGAGATGAAGTAACAGCCTAGGAAATCGAAAAACGGAACCGGAAACGGAAACATGTAGCATACGGAATACTTAGCGAAAAATATAAAAAATTGATTATGTGTATAAACAAATGGGCGTAGCAGCACAATGTGCTTAGTTAACAGACTTATTCTTATTCCAGAAAACAGACTTTCTTATTTCTCACCCACTCTAGTTATCTCCGCCATCTATTTATTTGCTGCTCCTTTGTTTACACATGTATTTTAGCAATGTTTTTTTTTTGTACTTTATATGAATACCTACATACATACATATATACATTTAAATATATATATATATAAATATTATTTTAATGCAAACAATCGTATATGATACACTCCCACGTGGATAGGGCGTACATTAATGCTAAGCACGCTGTCTAATTATTATTTTATGTACTCAGAACTTGACCCCTGTATATGTATGAACTGGCCAAGTTATAGAAGAGATAACCCCCCTAAAAGAGTCGCCCACGGCTGACCACAAAATATGTATGATTTCCTGCCCGCCCTTTAGTTTCTTATGTACAGATGATGTTAAAATTTTTGTAAAGTCAGCAGAGGAACTGCGCAAGGAAATTAGGACACAAAAAGCAGAAGATTTACATGAAATTAACACACTTTTCTGAGTTTCGCTGCTAAATGCGTAGGCATAACAAAACAATTATTATTATATTTCATTGAAATAATAAAACAAAAACAAATTGTTTCTAAAATTCGTGTAACAACACAAAGCTACAAAAACAAACTGACTTAACTTCTTGTCTCTCAGCTCTTGCAGCATTTTTGGTAAGTCGCCACCTACAGCCGCCACGATGGGGCACCGAAATGAAACAGATCCGTTGCTGCAACCGATCGTAGTGCTCTTTAAGTGGATTGCCATGGCACCCTCAATGAATGCCCAGTTTACTGTGTTTTACGAGAGTTTTGCAGTACAGTGAAGTGTTCAAGAAACGAACGATATAAGTGATTGTTATATTTAGAAAAAAATATAGATTGTAGAGAACGGAATGCTTGTTCAAGTTACAAAAGCAAAATATAAGTGCCGATGCTTAGGAGATGTGCATTTCTATAGGTTTACTAGTGTTGGATTAATAGGGATCACTTGGGTGAAAGCAGTCACAAGATTATCTTAGTCATATTGTTCTTAGTGATCATTTCTTAGTTGCTCACTTTACTGATACTTTCTTTGATGATCACTTGTCTACTATTCCCTCTGTTGCTTTCTGCAGTGTCTTGACCTACTCAAGAAACCTATACCATGCGATTAATTGGTTTGAATACTCATCAATTAATTAAAAAAAAATAAAAACATTTGTTCCTTCCGTTGGGCACCACTGTACTTCCACGTCTTAAACGCAACTCGGATTTGGGCAACACGAAGAGCAACAGAAAGACCGTCGGGCCGGCTCTCAAGCGTGTCCGTCTTGCTGTAACGACCCAGAGCCATAGCCACCGTAGTTATCGTGTTCGTCTTCAGTTGAGCGGTCGCATCGCAGCGCCAGTGTGGATCCCTAAAGAGGGACAAGTAGATATATTACCAAATCCGGGGACAGGTGTTTGTTGCCACATCGGATATATGGGGTACTCCCTGGGGAAACTATCTTCAAATACTATACAACATTTCTTTGAAGGAATATACAGTGAAGACTCTCAGTAAATATAATCTAAACTCCAACTGAAAGTGCAGTGTATATATTCCACGATGAAAACATATATAAACTTCGGGGCGATACGTCAGTGGTTGGGTGCTCGTTGATGCATAGCCAAGTGCTGTGCAACGCCGCTGTAGCCTCGACAAGAGCTAAGAAATACGAAGAAACCAGAGAGACTTCCGAAAACAATGCTCAAAGCCACCGCAAGGAAAATGACGGATCCATACAAATCGAAGCTGAAGCTCAGTGCCAGTCACGGTGGCTCCAATCCACTGCCCGTCGAGCCGCTGCCGGAGGAGGCTACCAATGGTGGCCAGACATCCCCCCAGAAGCTCAGCTTGAAGGGCAGCCAGCTGGGGGGGAGTATTTTGATTGGCAACTACAATGTAAGTTGGATTCACTCCGATACTCGGAGCCCACAGCATCCGGTTGCTGCGACTTCCTCCATTCGGTGTTTTCTTTTTCGCCCGCAGTACTTGACCCAGCTGGAGGTATGCGAAAACGAAATGGAGGTCTTGGACCTCAGCTCGCTGGCTCAACTGGAGATGCTTAAGTGTAGCCGCAACAAGCTGATGGAGCTAATAATCAATGCAACCAATCTTCAGGCTCTGGTAGCTGATCGAAATTGTAAGAGCTGTCTTATATACACCTACACCTTAGGCCTAATATTCGAATAACATTATATATTGCAGACCTGCACAACATCTCGACTACAAACACGCATCCTGTCCCTCTGAAGCTCCATCGCATCGACATCTCCCACAACAACTTCAGTGAGCTGCCCAACTGGATTGGGGCCTGTACATCCCTCGTCTCCTTGGAGTCCTCACACAATCGTTTGAGCAACATGACAGGATTGCTTCGCAACTACAGGATCAGCCAGTTAGCCACCTTGAATCTGGCCTACAATGACTTGAAGCAAATGGAGCTGCTGCCAGAAGCCTTTGGCAGCGTACAGAGTCTCCAGCTGCAGAGTAACGAACTACAGGCTCTGCCGGATAACTTCTTTGCCGTGACCCATGCCCGACTGGACACGTTGAATGTCTCCTGCAACAAGTTGGCCACTTTGCCACGCTACGAGCAGAATAACCACGCCGCCCTGATTAATCTCTTCCTGTCCGGAAACCAACTTAACGACACCATTTTCGAGTCATTGCACAATGCTGCCAAACTGAGGGTCCTTCATCTGGCCTACAATCGCATAGGACTGGTACCCGCAACCTGCATCCGCAACTGGCAGGATCTGGAGATCCTGGTTCTGTCGGGCAATATGCTTCAACAACTTCCCGAGGAGGTGGCCACCCTTGGCCAGCTGAAAGTGCTCCGCTGCTGCAACAACCTTCTCCTGAGCACGCCACAATTGGCCAAATTGGGAAAATTGAAGGTCCTGGATCTCTCGCACAATCACCTGGATCGGGTTAATCTGGTGGCATTAGTTCCGACGAGGAATCTCAAGTACCTGGATTTATCAGGGAACCTTCAATTACAGGTATTGCTTTAATTTTGGAAGACATTATGTGGAGACACTAATTATTCCATGTCTTTCCAGGTGGACGAGCAACAATTCAAGGTTTGTCAGACGCAGAGCCAACGGCACTGGAGCCTGATCGACGTGTCTGGCAACAACCGAGCTGCTTTGCCCACGACCACTCTCCGACAGGTGAACGTGCAAAGGAGTCAGAACAAGTCGGCGCCGTGGAGTATGGGATTTGCGGAAACTCCAGGCTCTGGGGATTGCCGGAAGCTTTCGGTCTGTCAGCTTAGGGCTCCCAACTATGGCGGATCCGATGAGGCGCTCTACGGAATGTTCGAGGCGATGGAGGGCCAGGGCCGTGTGGCCCAAGATATGGTTCAACTCATTCCCGATCTAATGAAGCAGGAGCAGTTGGTCAAGGAAGCGGCAATGAAGGATTACATCAAGTTTACGCTGCTGGCGGCGCAGCAGCAATGCGGCAGGGTGAGAAGTGCCGCAGTGTTCCATCTCACCAGGACACGGGCTCCATCGAAGGTCAGACCTCTGAAGAGCAAGCGTTATGTTCTACGCATGGCCTGCACTGGTCGACTGGACTCATACCTTGTCAGACGAACAGCCCAGTTGCGTCTAACGGAAACGGAAACTGAGCACGGTCCCGCAATGGCATTAAGGGATCCACATGTCTTGGAGGTGGGTTTTTATAATGATAAATTTACATATAATATTATTCTGTTGCTGTTTCCAGCTCACCCTCAGCAATGACGACGAGTATCTGGTGGTGGGCAATGCCCAACTATGGTCTGTAATGGACATTGATCGGGCTGCCCGAGAGATCCGCAAGGAGGAGAACGCCTTGCTGGCAGCCAAGCGGCTAGTGGACATCGCCCAGAGTCTGGGGGCAATGGAAAACCTCAGTGTGATTGTGGTGCGTTTCCGGCACCTGGGCACCGACGTGGACCACCTTATCCGGGAACTGAAGCAGAGCGTCCGTAAGAAGCCTGCACCGGTTCCCGTGCCAGCGTCTACTGTGTCTGTCTGCAAACGCACCTGCTGTGACCGAAGTAATGCCTGCAGGCACCGAGCCATCGAGCAGGAGCCCCTGGCTGGTCGATCATCGCCGAGCGGCCAGAGTGATCGAGATTTGTTGGCCAAGGACAAGGCGGACGGAGGCGGAGACGAGTTCGTGTTGGCCCACGCTCGGGTCCTTCAGGAGGAGCAGCAACTAGAGATGCTTGACGAGACGGAATCGGTTCTCTCTGAGGAGCAGTTCAAGTGCTGGGAGTACATGTTGGAACAGAACACGCAGCTCCTCTTCGATAAGGAGCTGAATACCATTTCCAAATCCTTTACCAAGCAGCGACCCATGCCCAGTGCCATCCTGGCTGCTCCAGTTACGGATCGCAACGACTTCACCTCGAACCTGATGCGCAGCGTGACCAACAAATTCATCTCCTCCAGCACCCCGCAACTGCCACAGCCTCTGGCCTGCTCCACACCGAACTCTGTCCCCCTGGGATCGTATCCACACATCAAGCAGCCGGTCCCTGGACATTTCGGCAGTGCCCTATCCTTCCAACAGGCACACAGCTATGGATACAATTTGTTTGATGCAAAGGCGCGCAAGTTCTCCGGAAGCTCCGCCAAGCGAGGCGGAGGACCCCATTCGGCATATTTCGGATCCCTCCAACGCCTAATGCCCTACAACTTTGAGTACGATTTCGCGGTGACTCAAGAACGGGATCGGAACATCTTGGACGAGGAGGAACACGACGAGGATGAGTTCAATGAGCATGAGAGCCGTATGCGAAAATACTGGGGAGTGGCTACCACAGAACTCTAGTTCTTCTATTTCCCTTCCCTTTGTGTCAGCTAAATATTTTTTATAATATTAATAAGAAAATAATTTCGGAACCCAGAAAGGAATGCATCTTGGATTCACCAGACAAGTTAATCTAGATGTATTTATCCTTTTGAAGGCAAAGCAATCTTAAGTTCAATAGTAATCTTTTAAAAAAATATATATATACAGATATTTATACCATTTTTGTATAAATTGCCGAATTAAAATTTCAGATTTTATGATTAGTTTTAATTATTTTAGACTATTGTATCTTATAATTAAAGCTTTAATAAAAGTAGTTTAAGCTATTATGGGTGGCCTGTGAAGAAAGTAAAAAATGTAACTAAGAAATATGAAATCTGGAATATCACTTATTATAATATTTAATTTATTATAATTAAACATTTTTTTCGTGCACCCATTTTGTTCCACTCAACAATTTTTAAATCTCAGCGGTTATTTCGAATACCTGAAAACCTATCGTCTGCCTAATCGTCTATCGATAAGCTTATCGATCCCATATGTTTACCTCTGCACGTTTCTATTTGCTGGTGTATAAATAGTTAAAGTGAAGTGAATTATTATTCCAATTTAAACCAATCAAACTAAAATAAATAAGGACATGCACCTGCCTCAGCAAAGGCCACACCATGACATCGCCGAGCTGTTTGCGGAGGCCCAGCCGGATTTCGTGCGAGTGAGCGCTCCGATGGTGCGTTACAGCAAGCTGGAGTTCCGGCGCCTGGTCCGCCTCAACGGAGTCCAGCTGGCATTCACACCCATGATGATCTCGGACTCCATCAACAACAGTGAGAAGGCGCGCCAGAATGAGTTCTCCACTGGCGCTGACGACCAGCCACTCATTGCCCAGTTTGCGGCCAAGGATGCTTCGGAGTTTGTGACGTCCGCCCAGCTCATCTATCCATACGTGGACGGCATCGATTTGAATTGCGGATGCCCACAGAGCTGGGCGATGGCCAAGGGATATGGTTGCGGCTTGCTCCGACAGCCTGAGCTAGTGCGCGACGTGGTTCAGCAAGTGCGACGAACTCTGCCCAACGATTTCAGTGTCTCGGTCAAGATGCGGCTGCTAGGCGGCGATGAGTCCCTCAAACGCACTATCGAGCTGGGTCGCCAACTGGAGCATGCAGGCGTTACCTTTCTCACCCTACACGGCCGGACTCCTGCCCAGAAGCACTCAAAGGACACACTAAACATCCCTGCCATGGCAGAAGTGCGCCAATCTCTGCAGATCCCGCTGATAGTCAACGGCAATGTGGAGAGCTGGGAGGATGCCTGCCAGCTGCATGCCCAGACCGGAGCTGCTGGCGTTATGGCCGCCCGGGGACTCCTCGCCAATCCAGCGCTCTTTAACAGTGCCTATCCGCTGGCCAAAACTACGCCTGTGGCCTGTGTGCAGCAGTGGCTGGACATTGCTGCGTCTGCCGGAGATAACCTGCAGTTCCAGTGCTTTCACCACCATCTAACCTTCATGTGGAGCGGCGAAATGAGACGAGAGCTGCGGGTCCGATTCAACAGCTTAAGCTCCAAAGAGCAGGTGACGGATTTCCTTGAGGAACACTACAACGTGCGTCCCGGGGAGGCATTCCCAGCGGCGGCAAACTATACTGATTGCACCTACACGCACTTCACTCCACCCAAGCACGCCCGCCACATTGCTGCCGAGACGGACGAGCTGGCATGGAGCGCCAAGAGCGATGGCAAATTCTTCACAGAGTTCCGGGCACACCAGTTGACGGGAACTGGAGGAGAAGACCTGGAACTCGGAGGTCTGTTTGGCGAAGAGGAGTGACTTTTATAATAATTTTATCACTTAGTTATATATGTAAATATGAACATAGGTAAAATGTTAAAAACATATATAGACGAAGATTGATCATTACTTATCATTGATCATGAACTTAAATGTTTTTTGCTATTCATGTTAACAGCATTGGACTAAAAAAAATTTGAATTTTAAATTTATTCGCTTGCCGATAACGATTAATATTCGATAGGTGATGCGGTCGAAAGTCGCTCCGCTTGTGCCATCTCAATAACCACTTCCACCCCTAGTTGAAAAGCAAACAATTTTCAAGAAAATGAGACGCCGCGAACTACAAACGATTCAACTGAAGCTGTCCGAGCTTAAGGAGTATGAAGAAGCCAAGCTGGAGCGCCTGAGGAGCCGCAAGCAGCTGCTGTCGCCGCGAACTCCCACACCTACCTCGGACAGCGAAGTGCTGGCGATGTCCTCCAGCGGAGAGCCGCTGCTTGTGCTGACCAGCAGCACAGAGTCGGAGTCGGAGGCCAAGAACGCTGCACTCTCACCCAAGCCCAGCACATCGTCGTCCTAGGGATTGGAGGACAAGTTCGTGGTAAGTTACATTTATTATCGTTTACATGGGATAATCGTCAGCATTGCCGTTGTTGTTGTTCTGAAAACGAACCGTCTCAAAGCCGTCGACGAGAATTTCTCGATCCTCGGTCTGCTGGCGTTCTCGCAGCCACTGCTCCCGGATGGGCATGTAGCGCCGAAGTCCTGGCCACTTCTGCCAGCAACGTCGCTTGTAAAGTACCCAGACCAGCGATGCACCGCAGCCGAAGAGGAAACATATTAGGAATATGCTGATGCCGCGGGCGTGCGCCGCCGTGACTGGCACATAGGAGATATCATGATCGATCAGTTCTTTAACCGGCCGGCTGTGGGCCAGCTGCTGCTCCTCATCCGTGCAGTGAGTAATGGGCACGTAGGGCGTTATTGCATTCCCGGCCAGGGAGTGGACTCGAACAGCACAGTCCGTGTATGTTATGTTCAAGTGCTCCGCGAACACGTAACCGGCGTTGGCATGCTCCTGCCTCGTCACGCAGCCCGTGTGCGTCTGGTTGAATTTATTGCGGTAGTGAATCACGTAGTTGACCACCAGACCGTTGGGCTGCTGGGGCTCTTGGAAGCGTATAATGTACTTCTGTGTCTCCGGAACGTAGCAGCCCTGTAAATGGGTGAGTTGATCTGCTCCCATCGTGTAGTTGGTTCGCTCATGCAGCGCCGTATGGGAGCTGCATCCTAGCTCGTTGCACGCCTGCAACTGCAGGGCGTACAACCGATACCGATGCAGCTGACGCAGATCGTACTCCGAGGTGTTGCCCGGAAGACGATACTGCGGCAAGGTTGCCTCGTCTAAGTTTAGTTCGCGGCACTGTTTGAGATCGTCCAGCGTGCAGCTATATAGGTCCCGCATGTCCGCAATGAAGCGTGCGTCCTCCGCTTGCTCCTCCTTGTGAGCACAGCAGTCGTCATAGTCCTCGAACGCCAGCCATTGGGCACTGTCCATGTCCTGCCAGACGTACGAAGGCTGGTGGCAATAGTTTCGTTGCTCTATGTAAGCCTGATCGTCGGCCAGTTCGAACACTGTCAATAGGAAGCTATCATGGTCGTGGGCAGCCATCCGCACACTCAGCGAACTGTCCGTCTTCTTGACCAACTGCAGTAGAGGGGCCTTCGGAATGTCGCGTTCCGTCTGGACGTAGGTTAGATCACTACGCGCCTCATGCATGTTGTCATCCCCGAAAGTACGCAGCAGACAAGCATACCGCGTGTCCGGCTCCAGGGAGTCCAACTCAAAGAAGTAGTGCGTGCCGTTCTCGTGCAGCTCGTCATGGAAAAGCAATTGGCGCTTCCAATTGATGCGGGTGCACACAGGCGCCTCTAGTTCACTCTCCTCGTGATACAGTTTACCCGGAGGCAGCGGCCTGTGGATGATTTCGAGTCTTTGGCTAGTCTGTGACTTTAACCAACTCAGATTTATAGTTCTATAGGTGCGTTTCTAAAAGAGACTTAGTCAGGATCACTGTTTAACATTTAACTGATTCATGTTTATCACCTGCACATTTAACTGCAGCTTTGACGGACTGCACAATACTTCCTGGTCGTTAGTTTGGAGTGAGTCCAAGGCCCTGTCGTGTATCACTCCTCTTTGGAAGCCAAGCATTAGGCGATTGCACAGCTTATTGTTGCGATGCATAAACATGCCGCCATCCATGAGCTCAAGTTTGTGGTCAGGGTCCCATAGCTCGGACAGTCTCCTGTTGTCGTAGAGTACTATGGAGTATCGGCGACTTTCCATGGGATCGCCGTGGATGCGAACCAGGTTACTGAGGAACTTTAGACTTCGCAGCTCAGAAGAGCTGTAAAAAGAGATGATACTCTATTCTTGAAAATGTAAAAATTCACATAAATGCATACACCCACCGATACACTTTAAGGTAACCACGAATCTCGCGGATGCCGGTGAAGCTCTGGACCAGCTGCGACTCGTTCAACTTTTGGCGAATGGTAATGATCAGGCTTGCGTTAAATATCTGACAGCCGCGCACCTTCTCGGCGTCGGCCAGGTTGTTTATGGTAAACACATCGGCCGGAGGCTCTGGCGTGCAAAAGCTGATACAAGCCTCCTCGGGACCACACTCCACGCACTCGGACTGGTTGTTCGCCCTGAATCCGCTGGGGCAGAAAGCCACGCACTGAGATTCGTAGACGAAATATCCGTGCTTTTTTACGCACTCATTTTTAGAGTAGCACCGTTGGTGATGCTCTAGGACATACCTGTAGAAAAGACGAAGTTAGGCGGAGCTTTTTTAAAATGATAGTACAACTGACTTTTCCGTCGGGCAGCTTTTAACACATGTCCCGGCATCGCTGAGTCCACGACAGACAGTACAGTCCGCGGCGGACGTTGAGTGAGTACTGCAGCCTCCCAAACACTCCTCATGGCATGAGTTTATGTTGCTAAAGATTATCAAAGAAACTTAATTGTTTCTGGGACGGGTTTATGCGGAGAACTTACGCTTTGGGATTGGCAATGTTTTCGTTTAGGGAGCGCTGACAGTATATGTTGGACCAGCAGTGGGAGGAGGCGCAGCCGGTGCAAACCGGGGAGCTGCAGTTGCTGCCCGTAGCAATGATTTGGTTGTCGCCAGTGCTCAAGGTAAGGAGATCCCAGTTGACCTGTAATTATATTCTAAACAACAGTTGATAGATAACAAATTAAATCCTACCCGATCCGTGTTGCAGAGCTTTGGACAGTTGCCGATGAACACCTGTCCGTTTTGTATAGCCATCAATTGTGGGAAGGCTATCTAAGAAAGACAAGCGTAGGATGTTGATACTAAACCCCGATTTTAAGGATCTGCTGCCACTCACCTGTTCGAGGTCAGGCATGCTGGTCACGCCAAGGGCGTAGTTGAGGAACAGACGTCGGCCCCGGATAATTGTAAGATGCGGGAACATCTCCGTAATGTTGGTCAAGCCACGCACCCCCGTGAATACAACGAACTCGGTTACCTCGGTCAGCAGGGGGAACGAGTATTGTGAGTAGTTGCACTGTAGATCGGAGGTGATCAGTGTGATCATGAGGTAGCCAGTCACCACGGTGCAGTTGTCCAGTTGGTGCAAATTCTTGCAATCATTCCGGATATCGATGCTGGGGCACTCGTGTTCCGGTTTTGCCTCTGCGAGGGCACCGAGCAGTGCCAGCAGCATGAGGCTGGCGCTCGGCAACATGTTGCTAAACTTATGTTTCGCTTAGCTTTCGCTCTTTTTACTTCTGGTTGCTGATGCGTTGTTGTCCAGCGAACATATTGATTAGCTTCGATGATCGGATTCTCAATAAATCTGATTTAAGGACCAAAATAAGTCAAAGCTTTAGTTTCATCTATGCCAAGATTACTTAATGCAGTCATTAAAATAAAGGGGTACAATTTCATTTAATTAAAAACTGTTGAAATTACTCTATATAAACTTTATAATAGATTTATCATAAGTTTTGCGTGACAAAAAGTAGTACTTTTTTTCTTTTTTTTAAATTCTAAGTAAACAAATAGAACATGTTCATGGATATTATAATTTTAATTTTTTATAAACGGGTTTCCGAACTTCGACTACCCCGAAGTTAACTTTCTTTCCTATTATTTGTAATTTTGTTTAGAAAACTGTAACAAACCACATGCTATTATTACCCTGTTTTCTTTATATGTTATTAAATTACTTGGGAAGTGACTTTAGTGACACACTGTATAGCACTCGCGGTACGCCGGTTAATTAGCTGCTCGATCCGCTGGCCATCTGATTAGCCCGCGAATGTTTATGACTCGCTCGCTTTTCGCGCGGCCTTTTTCTGCTCTCGCAATCGTGGGCGAAAAATCGCACGAGTCCGAAGGGTTTGCCTTTATTTTTGCTTTGCTAATTCTTGGGCCACTTCTTCTGATTTTGCTTATTTTATTTGCTTGTCTGTCTGTCTGTAGCTTAGGCGTAAACAAACAGTTTATCACACACACACCCGCGCACCAAGCACCACATTACGCACATTGAAAACAATTTCTTTTCGGGCTCGTTATTATTTGTTTATTTGTTAATTTTTTATTGGCGCTAGATATTGGCCTCGCGAAGGGCGGCCTCTATTCTATTCTCTTTTGGCACACATTCACTTCGCAAGGGTTGCCATATAATCAGATCAGATCAGATCTTCCAGTGAGATATCGCTTAACGATGATTATGCTCTCTTTCCAAGCTGTTCAAATAAATACACATATTGAAAGTATTGCAGAATGCAATAGAAAATTATCAGTCACTTTCAATTTAGATTTGTCTTGAATTATGTATAATAATAAGTTTGGAACGCGGAAAGTGATTTTATCGGACCGCATTAGATATATATTTTTGATAAACATTTAGCATTATCTGTCTGCCCAAACTGAGTCTCTACTTCCAAGCTATATTAGTGAATTCTTGCAGGGAACCTTCTTGGAACCAGCTAAATCTTTATCTGACGTTGGAACAGAATTTATTAAAAAAAAAAGTTTCTTAACATTTTTTAATTGAAAATTGTATTTGTTACTTATTATTTCAAAATTAGAATCTTTATTATATAAAAATCAGTCGACTACATAACTCGCTGCCAAAGGAACAGTATGGAATCAATGCGATAAATCTATATATTGTTCATATATAGGATCCGAAAAAGACAATTAAAAGAAATAGATAAATATATCTCTTAAATATTTGATTTATCAGACTCTACAATAACTTCTTTATGATATTTAACACATAATTTTTGTCAAGTGTCATATGGGACTTTTTCTTTTAATATGTCTTTTGAAAAATATACCAATTTCGTATTTCTGAAATTAGTTTTCGAACTTTAATTAATTAATTGATTAAAATCAATTAATATTTTCTATAATTTTTGAACCCTGTAAATTATATTATCTTGATCAGTATAAAAAACAGAATCGGAATAGAAATGAATTAAAATTTGGCATTGTTTGAAATGATCCTGATCCCATTACAATCTTCGGATTTCCGAACTTAGTTTCCTTTGTTATTTGTTATACATTTTTAAGCACGCTTACAAACATTTTTTTATTTCTTCTCATTTTTTTCAGAGAAAAAATAACCCTGTCATCGTCACTACCTCACTGGATGTAGCACCTTAGTTTTAATCAGAACATATTTATGACCATGCTTCTTACATAAGCCGTACCGACACATCGAATCCAAAGAATGATTCACTACTACATATTAAATGTAACTAATTGGGCACTATTGTTAATTAGTGCCAACCTCAAATCAGCCAGACTGTTAAATATAAGAAAGCGCCCAAAAATATTTCAATGCGATATGGTTTTTTAAAGGATTCCGGCTGGCGATACACACGGCGTGCGGGGATATATAATTAAAATATTGGACAGTTTGCGGAGAATATTCGGAGAACGTTTCGCCCCGGCGGATTGGGATTGATGCGAGTGCCGCGCTCGAAGATGTTTACTTCGCGACGATCGAATGCCGACTGACCGTCTTGGGACCTCGTCCGTCTGTGTGGAAGAAAACAAATTGATTTTTCATTTAGTGGCTTCTGCCTCCAGCCTCCGGCCCTGGGATCTCGCCGATTGGCTGATACACTGCCCCCGGCGGTGCCTTTTCAGCATCTGCAACCGACCGGCCGTAAATTGATTAGGCGAGCGTTTGATTTCTGCGGGAATGTGAACAAATTAATGTGTCAGCTCGGCGGCTTATGCAACAGCAATTACATTTGCGGCCACAGATCGCGCCGCTTTCTCTCAGTGCACCCATTCAATTTTTATGGCTTAGTTCTTGGCCTGCCAAGACTCCTGCCAAACCACCAGCTGATCCCGGTGGCTCATAAAAACAGCTGACTCCAATTAGCCACATGGCACCGGCACCGGTACCGGCCACTCGCTCGCACTCAGGCAACACTCTGGAAATCAAGTTTCCTTGCAGTGGATCCAGGCACTGAATCACGAAGTCCAAGAAACGATTAAGTTTAACGAATTGCAAGCCAGGAATGAGAGATGTTTAAAGGGCACAAAATCAGTGGCGAATTTTGAGTTTTTAAATGGTAAGATATCTTTTTTAATTAGTTACTTATTACGAATTTAAATGGTTGAGGTTGAGTTGATTTTTTGTGGAATAATTCGAACCTTAAGCATGAGCCGGTTAGTAGTTAGTTAATACAAAATATATTACTCTTTTAAGCCACAGCTACTTTTTATTATTTTCTTCCTTCCAAAGAAATCATACAGCTATCTTTAATCCCTATTATCAGATGAACTTGGCTTAGACAAATCCATATCAAGTGGAAAGTCAAAGAATCTTTTAAAAGAGTACGTCTCCGATTGTTTTTCTGTTTGTCATTTTGTTTTTACCATAAGATATTTTCATATTTCCCAAGCGCCTCCGAGTGCTTCGTGTCAGAGTTCAATTAATTCAATTAAATTATTGGATGCGTGTCTGCTCAGATCAAGATATCACGATCACTGGAAACTGTTTCAGGGAAGAGGGCACATGTTCGTAAGTAAATGTTGCATATTGGCTTGGCAAAATGTTATCTGTTTTTATCGGTTTTCTTTATAATGCAAATTTTAATTTAGATTAAGATTAGTAAATAAGCTTAGAATAATAAGCCTATTCTGGCGGTGTGTTGTCATGTATCCACTCGGCGAAATGAGCCACGGAGGTATAGACACTTGGGATTCGCAGTCCACCGCAGTTATCCGATCCGAAGGACATAATGCCAATCTGTGGGGTAGGGAGATGTTTTTATTGCCATACAAACGCTCGTTAAAAAAAGAGGAAAATGCAAAACGGTGAATGAAATGAAAGCAGACATTACTTTAACGCTGCAAAGGTATACAAACTTCGGCGTGCCGATGTTAGCTTCCTTTCTTATTAGTCATGACGTTACCTGTGAGAAGATACCATTTTCCTGGATAAAAAGCGGAGCTCCACCGAATCCTTGGCACACATCCTTGCCTTCGCCACCGGCGCACATCCACTGGCCCTCGATCGAGTTGGGAGATTCCAGGGCGCCAGTGGATCCATAGTTCCGCAGGCACAGATCCCAGCTGGTGAGCGGTACGTCCAGATGCGACATCTCCGGCTGCCGGACACTCGATGTGGACATCTTACCCCAGCCGGCGATGGTGGCACGCTTGCCCACCACCAGATTGGCGCGTGTCTTTTGCAGGCAGATCGGTTGTGTTGCCACTGCCGGTGGGAGAGTGGAAATGGGTGTGTGTTTGTGGTCATTAATCTTGAGATCGACTTTTGATCGCTACCTGGCAAAGCTGCAACAATGTTGCAAGGCTCCCAAAAGGGCGTACCAAATATGGCCAAGAAGGGGCCCTATTTTAATGGTTTTCATATAAAATAATTCTTTTTTATCCTAGCTTTGAAAATCGGAGTTTTGCAAATATTACAATTTAAAGATAAGACTTTCAAAAGCAGATTATTAAACAATCAGAAATTTATTTTTACTTATTAATTTGATTTAAGCTCTTTGTCATTAATATTTTCACAATAGTCTCACAAATTAAATATATATTTGTCTAGACCAATACTAGTAATGTAACTATAATTTAAAGGCGGACTATTAAAGATAGTAATTTTTATACTGTTTAGGAGCCCCTCCCGGCAACGCCCTTGTGTGACCCTGTGATTTATGCCGGGCCGCTGTCTTTTATTGGACATTATAAAGCAATAATAAGAAGTAGCAACAAGTTGGCCAGCCAACTGGCAACGCCTCCTTTCGGATCCCAAAATAATGTGTTGTTTACGACCTGGCCAAATTGCAATTTGGCCGTGCCTGGCAATCACCCTTATTTGTTCTGGTATGTGCAGGAGGTGCTGCAATTGGGGCTTACGCTTTTAAATTCAATTTGCTCGAAATGGCCATTAAAATCACGTTTCAGTTAATTTCAATCTACAAGATCGGCAACCAATAATTTATTTAGGAGTAACAAGAAGATAAGTCAAGTTTTCAACGGACCGTGGCCTAAATAAAGATGGAACTTCGGGATGGACGCACTGTGTCAAAAAGAATATTTATCCTTGAACCTTGTATACGGAAACCAGAAATAGTATAATTTAATAAAAACCGAAACCAAACAATGAGGGTGCGCATTGTTTTCCTTCAATTTTGTCAATTAATTATTTTTTTCTTTCCATTCTTTTTCTATTCTATTCTATTTTTTCTATACATTTCTAAGAACAACGAATCTTTAAGGTTTATATTTACACCAAATATTTTTCTCCATTCTGAATTGAAATTTTCTATAACCATTTCAACTAATTGCAGATCATAATTCCAAAGTTCGTGACCATTGAACTGAGGCGAAAAAGTTAAAAATCAAAGTGAATCCACTGACCAAGCGGTGCTCAGCTCATTAGCTGGTACACTAAACACGCACCAAAGCCCAACGCCGCCCAATTAAACGTCGACATGTTTGGATCCCAACCTAGAATTACCGGCATGCGACACATCTCTGTGGAGTGCAGCGGAAGGGGAGCACATTTGACATTTGTGAACTTGGAGCGAATGGAGCAGATGGAAAGATGACAGAACAAAACGATTTTTAATTAACGCGAACACCGCCAAGCGGAACCGCCCCGAGTCTCCCACTCCCAGTCCCAGTCCCATCCGATCCTCCCCAGCAAACTCACCCGAGTAGTTTAGCGGCGTTTTGAGCACCAGCAGGGCAATGTCATGATGATACTGGCCCTGCTTGTAGTCGGGATGCACGATCACGTGGCTAATGGCATGGTTCACGGAGCGAGGGGCACAGAATCCGGTGTTGGCACAGTCCGGATCGCTGGACGTATCGTACTCACCCACGCGCACCGATGACCTGCAAGAGTCCAGGGGAGAAAGTCGATCGATTGTTGCACATCCGATAAGCGGCTCTAGGTGACCCACTTACAGTCGATGGCCATCGGCCTTGGCCAGGGCACAGTGGGCGGCAGTGAGGATGACACGACGGGCTATGACAGCGCCAGCACATGGATAGGCAAAGGCTCCCGTGTTGATATCTGGATATGGAGGAATAAGATGTCTTATCATAAAGGAATATTCCTTTATGATAATTGAAACTTACGTTTAAATCCGATTCTGGCAACGAACGGATATGATCCTAGGCCCTTGTAAAAATGTCCTTGAACCAGTGACTTTCCGCAAACCTGGTTCTTCTCCAGCGGACTGCTAGGACAACAGACGTAAGGCAGCTCCTCACTGGTCCCACCGCAGTAGAGCGACTTGTCGCCATAGTAGCAGCTCCGAGCCACCTCATAGATTAGGGCTGTGCAGTCGTGGAGAGGAGTGCACTCTGTGCCGACGGAGCAGCCAGTCTGTCCGGCGGATTGGCCACCATCGTAATAGGAGCGTGCGGCCACAGAGTGTCCATTGGTCTCATTACCCTGCACTGCTCTGCCTGCTCCTGGTTTTGCATATGAGCCGGGAATCAGTAATTTCTCTAGGATATTTGTAAATTACACTAATTAGGAGACACCCTTTTTAATTTAAATGATTTTACTACTTTTTAGGAGAGTTATAATTCTTTAATGGCATAACCACAGGACTGGGATCCCAGACTTTTTAGTTAATGTTTGAAAATGTCTATACATAATTGTGTGCACTTTTTGTTATGACAATGTTTATTATTTGATCCTTATAAAAAACAAAACAAATGCTTAGTATCTAATTCAAGGATCTAGTATGACCAATCCTGCTTGTAAATAAAATTTATTAATTCATTATCCTGTAGTTGTTATAAGAAGCACAATTTTAAGTTTGTATTCCTTCTTGATACGTAATGTCAATATTTTATATTTGGCAATATATTTGTTTCATAGTCATTTGAAATGTTTCAAAAAATGTACGATTGTTGAATACCCGCGTGAGAGTTTTACTGCATTTATTTATATAATATTCTAGTACGATAAAATTAAACTTCTATTTATTGAACTTGTTCGTGAATTAATATCACTAAATCCAATACAATATAATGCTAACAACTTTGCTTGCATATGACAATTCAAATATGTTAGTCTTACGCATTTGAAATTATATTGTCTTTGGAGTTTAGATTCTTAACAACACAATACTCAAGATAAAATAAAGGATTATTTTAACACTTTTTACACTCATTTCCTACCGAATTCACCGGATTCCGTTCGAGCTATAGCCAGGAGTTGAGAAACCACACAAAATATAGGAAATGCTCGCATTGTTTCGCAGGATTTGATCACTTTGCGTGCACTTTTTTAATCTTTTTTCACTTTCGACAATATGAGTTTGGGGTTCAGAACTTTCGGTTTCCGTCGATTCGAACCGCGCAGTTGAACTAAGCTTTGTCAACTAAGTGAAGCGATCCCCCAAACGATCTGGCCAAATGAAAATGAAAATGAAAACGTATACGATGCCACACATGCGGAAAGGTTCAGCAGACACACACTCAGGCACACTCCTATGTACTGCTGGGCTGCGGTTATTAACTGATTTTTATGACGGTTCGGTCTCAATTCGCGACCGTTTTCAGATTGTACTATAATTTGTTCATTTGTGTGGCAGATACACATTTCCATGGCATGTGATAGCGGAACATGCAGAACATCTGTCCGTCTCATGAATCCGTCCACAGTTGCAATATGTGCTCGTGTTCAGTCATTACCTGTTGGTCATTTGGGAAATTGTGAGTTTCGGTGGCAAAAGGGTGGAGTTGGTTAGACTTGAAAGACTTTTGAAATGCGCTGCAAGTATGGACAATTATTTAAAGTAAAGTTTGTAAAACAAAAAACAATTTAAAGCTGAATAAAGAGATGTATCTTTAAGGTAGTTTGTTTTTAATTAAAGATACCTTTTATTTTATTAGTCAGACTGTTACTGTATCGACTACTTAATCATTAGAGTCAGAATCTATTACCAAAAGTTTCTTTATTAACATGAAATTGTAAAGGTTTCAATATATTTACTAAAGAGATTTAGTTATGAAATCTGTGATTCCCTAAAAATCTTCTCTCCAAATTATAGAAAATATATTTTTGAAATTTTACCACTGAGTCCTCTTTAGGGAATTTATAATTCCAATTGACTGAAACTTTCCTTGCCTTTGTGTTTTATGTTATTATTTAAGTGTGATTAGCATTCGTTTTTTAATTCTTTACCTTTTTTTTGTAATAAAATATGTTGAATGTGATCATTTAGATTTGATAAGCGCTCTCACATTTCACTGGGCAAACGGCCAACTGGTTCCAGTTTTTTAAGCTGGAAAATAAGCACGACAAACGCACATTAAATTGCTTAATATGTGTGTATGTATGTTTGTCAGCATCTGTGGCCGCTAAATTGTTTTGTAATTTTATGTTAAATTTTCCTTTTTTATTGCTTGCAGTTAAATGGTCAAGTTTTACTTTCGTTGCTCAGACATCAACGCCACGAAATATAGTTAATTTCACTTTTTAATTGTTTACTTGATACTTTTGGCATAACGAGCAATCGTGCAAAACACTTAGTTAACTCTGTTGGGAATTCTACTTTCAGTCACGGGGATCTGACCGGAATCACTATCCAGACTGGACTGGAATGTCTCATTTCTGGATGATTCACTGGCTCGTATCAAATCATCCGCATCGTAATAAACTCTGTCATCGGGGCCTTCTTCCACGGGCACCGGATAGTTGGCCAGCACCTGGAGGAACACGTCGTAGCGATCTCGAAGTTGGACATCAACCTCCTCCATCCGCCGCTCCTCCGCCTGGAGGGTTTGGAGCAGTGTGAAGAGGAGCACTCTGTTGGCTATGCGGCAGTCGGGCAGAAGACTGCTCTCCACCGGCTCTTTGGGGCACATGGTCTTCCGTCCAGCTCCTTCTCCCTATATTTATATTTCTGGCTTCCGTTGGCAGTTTTATTAATTTAGTTCTAACAAAGTCTAATAAGTACTATACCTAGCAAGACATTTCGAAAAGTGACACAAAACGCAGTACCGAGTATTTTTTCTTTACAAAATAAAAACTTGCTTTAACGAGTTGCATTATATTCTACATTTATCATCCATTAGATATACATATGTATGCATTTTGACTCTCAAAAAAATATTTAAATTATACAAAAGACACATAGTTAATGTGTTTATTAGTTTTGAATAATAATAAATTTCATACTTATCCACTGGTTAACACAATAGGTTCGAATCGTTGCTGGTCAACTATATTCCATTTTATAAATAAAAGCTACTTAATTAGCTGGGTTTTTGTTTCTATTTAGATCATTTTACATCGCATATTACATAATTTAACCGTTAAACTGTTAACCCATTAAACGTTTAACAAAAGAATGCATTTTAAAACTAGCGGAAGTAGTTTTATTTTGTAACATGTATAAGTTCTCAAATATGATATGTGCAGTAAAAAAAAAACAGCAACAATAAAGCTTTGCTATTCCAACTACCGTTATCTGACTCTTATAGCCGTTTTGATGTCCCCATTAACGTGTTTAAACTGTCAGTAAATTGCTAAAATTTAATGTCAATCATACATTGGGAATTACCTTCTATACCACCAAATAAAAATTAATTGTTTGGGGTCAGTGAAACAACATATATTATGAATACACTTAAAAATTATAAATCAACCTCGCTAGATTAAGAAAGAATGAAAATTTTAATATGTTCTTATATAAATGAGCATATTAAATATGTTTAAAGATTTGGTATCTTCTACATCAACAAAGCTATGTAAAGCTGTTACTAAGGTTATAAGGTTATACAGGATTATAAATTTGTATTCATTTTTGACAATTTTAATTTGTCATATTTTTTTGTTGTTTGCACATGGCTATATAGAATCAGCTACGAATGTGTATAAAAAATATATACGATTTATGGGGTCGGAAATGATTCCTTCATTGTGTTATAAGCTTCTGATTTATACTAATACCTTGCAAATTGGTATAAAAACGGGCAATTTCTTTAAATAATCAGTGTTTTGCAAACATCATAATTAAGCCAAAACTGCGTTAATTTCAATTCGGAAAACTGTTTTCTGCTAATTTTTATAGCGCTAACAAATCTGCATACTGCGTTTTTAAATTTAAAAAATTCAATTTTTTATCGAATTTTGATAATTTTATCTTTTTTTGAAATTTTGGAAAAAATGCAAAACTTTATTTTCCCACAAGACATGGCTAGATCGGTTCAGCTGTTCATTCTGATAAAGAATATATATAATTTATAGGGTCGGAAATCATTCCTTCATTGTGTTATAAGCTTCTGATTTATACCAATACCTTGCAAATTGGTATAAAAACGGGAATTTTTTTAAATAATCAGTGTTTTGCAAACATCATAATTAAGACAAAAATACATTAACTTCCATTCGGAAGCTGTTCTGTGCTACATTTTAAAGCGCTAACAAATCTGCATACTGCGTTTGTTGATGCTGTTAAAAGAGTTTGACAAAAATTATAATACCCTGCAAAAAGGTATAAAAACAGAAAATTTTGTAAATAATCAGTGTTTTCAAACATCATAATTAAGCCAAAACTGCGTAAATTTCAATTCGGAAAACTGTTCTGTGCTATGTTTTATACCGCTAACAAATCTGCATACAGCGTTTTTAAATTTACAATATTCAATTTTTTATCGAATTTTGATAATTTTAACGATGTAACCCCTTATCGTTTTTTGAAATTTTGTAAAAAATGCAAAACTTTATTTTCCCACAAGACATGGCTAGATCGGTTCAGCTGTTCATTCTGATCAAGAATATATATGATTTATAGGGTCGGAAATCATTCCTTCATTGTGTAATAAGCTTCTGATTTATACCAATACCTTGCAAATTGGTATAAAAACGGGCAATTTTTTAAAATAATCAGTGTTTTGCAAACATCATAATTAAGACAAAAATACATCAACTTAAATTCGGAAAGCTGTTCTGTGCTACATTTTAAAGCGCTAACAAATCTGCATACTGCGTTTGTTGATGCTGTTAAAAGATTTTGACAAAAATTATAATACCCTGCAAAAAGGTATAAAAACAGCAAATTTTTGTAAATAATCAGTGTTTTTCAAACATCATAATTAAGCCAAAACTGCGTTAATTTCAATTCGGAAAACTTTTCTGTGCTAATTTTATAGCGCTAACAAATCTGCATACTGCGTTTTTAAATTTTAAAAATTCAATTTTTGATCGAATTTTGATAATTTTAACGATGTAACCCCTTATCTTTTTTTTAAATTTTGGAAAAAATGCAAACCTTTATTTTCCCACAAGACATGGCTAGATCGGTTCAGCTGTTCATTCTGATCAAGAATATATATGATTTATAGGGTCGGAAATGATTCCTTCATTGTGTTATAAGCTTCTGATTTATACCAATACCTTGCAAATCGGTATAAAAACGGAAATTTTTTAAAATAATCAGTGTTTTGCAAACATCATAATTAAGACAAAAATACATTAACTTCAATTCGGAAAGCTGTTCTGTGCTACATTTTAAAGCGCTAACAAATCTGCATACTGCGTTTGTTGATGCTGTTAAAAGAGTTTGACAAAAATTATAATACCCTGCAAAAAGGTATAAAAACAGAAAATTTTTGTAAATAATCAGTGTTTTTCAAACATCATAATTAAGCCAAAACTGCGTAAATTTCAATTCGGAAAACTGTTCTGTGCTATGTTTTATACCGCTAACAAATCTGCATACAGCGTTTTTAAATTTACAATATTCAATTTTTTATCGAATTTTGATAATTTTAACGATGTAACCCCTTATCGTTTTTTGAAATTTTGGAAAAAATGCAAAACTTTATTTTCCCACAAGACATGGCTAGATCGGTTCAGCTGTTCATTCTGATCAAGAATATATATGATTTATAGGGTCGGAAATCATTCCTTCATTGTGTTATAAGCTTCTGATTTATACCAATACCTTGCAAATTGGTATAAAAACGGCAATTTTTTAAAATAATCAGTGTTTTGCAAACATCATAATTTTGACAAAAATACATAAACTTAAATTCGGAAAGCTGTTCTGTGCTACATTTTAAAGCGCTAACAAATCTGCATACTGCATTTGTTGATGCTGTTAAAAGATTTTGACAAAAATTATAATACCCTGCAAAAAGGTATAAAAACAGCAAATTTTTGTAAATAATCTGTGTTTTTCAAACATCACAATTAAGCCAAAACTGCGTTAATTTCAATTCGGAAAACTGTTCTGTGCTAATTTTTATAGCGCTAACAAATCTGCATACAGCGTTTTTAAATTTACAAAATTCAATTTTTTATCGAATTTTGATAATTTTAACGATGTAACCCCTTATCGTTTTTTGAAATTTTGGAAAAAATGCAACATTTTATTTTCCCACAAGACATGGCTAGATCGGTTCAGCTGTTCATTCTGATCAAGAATATATATGATTTATAGGGTCGGAAATCATTCCTTCATTGTGTAATAAGCTTCTGATTTATACCAATACTTTGCAAATTGGTATAAAAACGGGCAATTTTTTAAAATAATCAGTGTTTTGCAAACATCATAATTAAGACAAAAATACATTAACTTCAATTCGAAAAGCTGTTCTGTGCTACATTTTAAAGCGCTAACAAATCTGCATACTGCGTTTGTTGATGCTGTTAAAAGATTTTGACAAAAATTATAATACCCTGCAAAAAGGTATAAAAACAGCCAATTTTTGTAAATAATCAGTGTTTTTCAAACATCATAATTAAGCCAAAACTGCGTTAATTTCAATTCGGAAAACTGTTCTGTGCTAATTTTTATAGCGCTAACAAATCTGCATACAGCGTTTTTAAATTTACAAAATTCAATTTTTTATCGAATTTTAATAATTTTAACGATGTAACCCCTTATCTTTTTTGAAATTTTGGAAAAAATGCAAAACTTTATTTTCCCACAAGACATGGCTAGATCGGTTCAGCTGTTCATTCTGATCAAGAATATATATGATTTATAGGGTCGGAAATGATTCCTTCATTGTGTTATAAGCTTCTGATTTATACCAATACCTTGCAAATTGGTATAAAAACGGCAATTTTTTAAAATAATCAGTGTTTTGAAAACATCATAATTAAGACAAAAATACATAAACTTCAATTCGGAAAGCTGTTCTGTGCTACATTTTAAAGCGCTAACAAATCTGCATACAGCGTTTTAAATTTACAAAATTCAATTTTTTATCGAATTTTAATAATTTTAACCCCTTATCTTTTTTGAAATTTTGGAAAAAATGCAAAACTTTATTTTCCCACAAGACATGGCTAGATCGGTTCAGCTTTTCATTCTGATCAAGAATATATATGATTTATAGGGTCGGAAATGATTCCTTCATTGTGTTATAAGCTTCTGATTTATACTAATACCTTGCAAATTGGTATAAAAACGGAAATTTTTTAAAATAATCAGTGTTTTGCAAACATCATAATTAAGACAAAAATACATTAACTTCCATTCGGAAGCTGTTCTGTGCTACATTTTGAAGCGCTAACAAATCTGCATACTGCGTTTGTTGATGCTGTTAAAAGAGTTTGACAAAAATTATAATACCCTGCAAAAAGGTATAAACAGAAAATTAATGTAAATAATCAATGTTTTTCAAACATCATAATTCAGCCAAAACTGCGTTAATTTCAATTCGGAAAACTGTTCTGTGCTAAGTTTTATACCGCTAACAAATCTGCATACTGCGTTTTTAAATTTACAAAATTCAATTTTTTATCGAATTTTGATAATTTTAACGATGTAACCCCTTATCGTTTTTTGAAATTTTGGAAAAAATGCAAAACTTTATTTTCCCACAAGACATGGCTAGATCGGTTCAGCTGTTCATTCTGATCAAGAATATATATGATTTATAGGGTCGGAAATGATTCCTTCATTGTGTTATAAGCTTCTGATTTATACTAATACCTTGCAAATTGGTATAAAAACGGAAATTTTTTAAAAT